GTTCGGAGTTTCATTTTCTTGTCAATGTAAGGTTTCAACTGTGGGATTTGGTTGAACATGATAACTTTATGTATCTTCTTAGTTTCAACCCCCGGGCCAGATACCTCTTTAAGTTCAGATATATTGTCTTGTTCTGAAGATTAGCTACCGGTTCTTGATTCGACTCCGTTTATTTGCAAATATTGTGGAGACAGTGGAAAATCATTGTGGTTACCCTTCTTAACATATGGCTAACATATCTCCATCCATCTCCTTAACATAAAACGTGATGTTACAATCAACTACTTTTTTTACTTTCTGGGAACACCATTGATGAATTCTTGCAGATATATATTCTTTGTGAATCATTAATCCATCGAATACCAAAGATTTGTTTTTTCCTTAGCCGATGAAGGATGTTTTCGACACAGTAAAGGCTAGTAAGATGTGGTGACCATTCTTCGTGTTAGTCTCGTATATGTAGTCTTCGCAAATTAAAGTGTGTGTCTACCTTTTCTGGGTAATATTTTGCATCGAGTTTTACCTCAGTCCAGTATCCTTAAAACATTACACTATTAGCATTGAAACTAGCTCGGTAGTCGCGTACTCGTGTTAGCTGGGTATTCGTGTCTACTTTAACTCCTTCGATGTAGCGAGCCCTAAGTTTGAAATCATCAGGATGATTCACAATGCACTCTTGCTTTCGCCTGTTTCACTTATTATGGTTATATAGATATAAGAAGATGTGGTATGAGTGCCAATGAGACAACTCTCCATCCAAGTCATATTTATAAAAGTAAACCATTATAGGTCACAGTACGGTCTTCAACACGGAGCCTTGGCTCACACCGAACAGCAAGCTATAAAGGACCCCAAAAAATTACTAGTGTAAAACCATTCAAACGGGAAAACCAACGGTCTAATCTATATAAAAAACGAGAAACGAGAAACACTTATGAACCACATCAACCAACGTCAACTACTGAACATTATGTTCCTTTCATTTAACTCATATGGTTTTTACAATCTTGTTAGGCTCCTTGATCCGGCACCGTTACATTCCTAGTAATCTTTTCATTACATTATTCTCTTTGCTACGGTAGGTCTGCTCACTTTGGAAGTGATCAGAAAAGAGGCAAAAGATACCAAAGTTATATCTAAACTCACAAGTCGAAAACAAAAAACTGACAATGACACGGAAAAAAAACTTAGTATGACAAAAAGACACACACCAGTACACAAAACACAACATAAAAAACTAAAGACTGAGCAAAATGAACCCATCGAATTCAGGGGGCGATCTCAGATGCTTTGGAAGGGAAAGCAGCTTTTGCTCCACATGTGACACCCGTCGTGTTTCTCCTATAAAATATGTCATTAGCTATGCCAATTGATTCGGCATCACGCAGTAGCGGATTAGTAATTGACTTTTATCTAACCCTAAGACAGCACCAAATTAATAAATCAGCAACGTTTATAAAATATTATTTATATTTTGCATACAACGAACTGGTTGGTACAAGTTTGAAACACCTAGATTATATGGCTGTGCAAAGTTTTTACAAAGTATATGGATACGTAAATGGATATGTATGTGGATATAAATACGATATCTTCGAACTGCTTTTGACCCTTTACAAGCTCTTGAAAGGAGTCGTGATTTGACGGCAGTAGATTTACGCAACCACATGTACATACAACTACTATATACCTCACATCTTCAGGAAAGTGTTTTATACTGGAATGGAGACTTGAAAATACTGAAAATTAGTTTCTGGCGAATATCGCCGCGGAGCTTGACACTACAAAATTAATGACAGGTATGAGTCGAATGAAGTCGAATGGAGAGGCCTAAAAAGTGTCAGATGAAAAAGAGGTTAAAGAGTAGAATAATGATCAGGAGTGTTAAATAATATCCAATCCAGTCCAATAAAACAAATTCCACTAGACTTTCACCTTTAGCATTGGTGCTAATTAGATAGTCGCGTATTCACGTTACCTCGGTAGTCGTGTCTATTTTGACCCGGTTGATGTAACAAGCCCTAGATTGGAAATCATCCGGATAATTTACAATGTAATCTTGCTTTCCCTTGTCAACTATGTATCATATGGTTAACAAATTGATAAAAAATCCAGGGCGTAAAGAATGTTTTAAAAACTTCCAAAGTTTGGTCATGACCCCTACCTAAACACTAACAGAAGTTAGGGACCTTGGTCCTGCTTGACTAAAATTTCCAGGTGGGGTATAGCACGGATTTTTTTTTAAATTGGTCCAAAGTTGGGGTCCGACACCCTACCCTACCCTAACTTTCAAAGTTAATAAAAATTTTCCTACGGCAATACTTTTTTCCACACTAGGTGCAAATGAAAGTTGGGACCCTTAGGCATGCTTGACTAAAATTTCCAGGTGGGGTATAGCACGGATTTTTTTTTAAATTGGTCCAAAGTTGGGGTTCGACACCCTACCCTACCCTAACTTTCAAAGTTAATAAAAATTTTCCTACGGCAATACTTTTTTCCACACTAGGTGCAAATGAAAGTTGGGACCCTTAGACATGCTTGACTAAAATTTCCAGGTGGGGTATAGCACGGATTTTTTTTAAAATTGGTCCAAAGTTGGGGTCCGACACCCTACCCTACCCTAACTTTCAAAGTTAATAAAAATTTTCCTACGGCAATACTTTTTTCCACACTAGGTGCAAATGAAAGTTGGGACCCTTAGGCATGCTTGACTAAAATTTCCAGGTGGGGTATAGCACGGATTTTTTTTTAAATTGGTCCAAAGTTGGGGTTCGACACCCTACCCTACCCTAACTTTCAAAGTTAATAAAAATTTTCCTACGGCAATACTTTTTTCCACACTAGGTGCAAATGAAAGTTGGGACCCTTAGACATGCTTGACTAAAATTTCCAGGTGGGGTATAGCACGGATTTTTTTTAAAATTGGTCCAAAGTTGGGGTCCGACACCCTACCCTACCCTAACTTTCAAAGTTAATAAAAATTTTCCTACGGCAATACTTTTTTCCACACTAGGTGCAAATGAAAGTTGGGACCCTTAGGCATGCTTGACTAAAATTTCCAGGTGGGGTATAGCACGGATTTTTTTTTAAATTGGTCCAAAGTTGGGGTTCGACACCCTACCCTACCCTAACTTTCAAAGTTAATAAAAATTTTCCTACGGCAATACTTTTTTCCACACTAGGTGCAAATGAAAGTTGGGACCCTTAGACATGCTTGACTAAAATTTCCAGGTGGGGTATAGCACGGATTTTTTTTAAAATTGGTCCAAAGTTGGGGTCCGACACCCTACCCTACCCTAACTTTCAAAGTTAATAAAAATTTTCCTACGGCAATACTTTTTTCCACACTAGGTGCAAATGAAAGTTGGGACCCTTAGGCATGCTTGACTAAAATTTCCAGGTGGGGTATAGCACGGATTTTTTTTTAAATTGGTCCAAAGTTGGGGTTCGACACCCTACCCTACCCTAACTTTCAAAGTTAATAAAAATTTTCCTACGGCAATACTTTTTTCCACACTAGGTGCAAATGAAAGTTGGGACCCTTAGACATGCTTGACTAAAATTTCCAGGTGGGGTATAGCACGGATTTTTTTTAAAATTGGTCCAAAGTTGGGGTCCGACACCCTACCCTACCCTAACTTTCAAAGTTAATAAAAATTTTCCTACGGCAATACTTTTTTCCACACTAGGTGCAAATGAAAGTTGGGACCCTTAGGCATGCTTGACTAAAATTTCCAGGTGGGGTATAGCACGGATTTTTTTTTTAAATTGGTAATATAGCTAATTAGTATTATCCCTGCACACCATACTTTGATTACTAAAAATAAACCCTGCGTATCATCAAAACTAAGCGAAACCCATTGTTATAGAAAGAGAATGATTCGCTAAAACAGATTTGGCTGACGTGAAAGTATTAAAGTACGAACGCAACTTTGAATTTCGTGTAGCGTAGAAATACTGTTACTTTTTAGGAACTATTTTACAGGATGCCGAGAATATGGAAAGCTATTTCACACAATATCGAACAAAATGTTTCTGATGGAAAAGTCGATAACATGAAACAAGAAAATTTGGCCATATTTAAATAATTTCATTTTGTCAGTGTTGACAGTTGAAGTTTTAAAGCGTGCAGTACTATGTTGAAAGCACATATTATTAATATTGTTTTTAAAATATTGAACATGAAATGAAATTTCAAAATTCATTGAATTATGTTTTCGACTGCTAAATTCAGATTAAAACAGATATTGTTGTGATTATATAAAATAAAAACGTTTAAGTAAGTTTGAATCTTATGCAACTTTTGGGTTTATAGACATATCTGAAAACTGGCTGCTAGCGGAGTGGCTGCTAGCGAGTGGCTGCTAGCTTGAGTCTAGCCGGGGTTTAACAAGTTTAAAGGCTCCAACACTCCCTAACCTTGGACAGTGGTGTAGTTAACTTCGCCTTCAGTTATTGGTTAGATTCGTGATTCTAAATCCGTCGTTTTCTTGGTAGTAATTGTGGTCTGATGTTGTGTGTTCTTCTTTTTCTTTTTTTTTTTTGGTCATGGTGTTTTCTATATTTGGCTAATATATTTTAGTTTGCTCATTGGCTTCCTCTCTTCTTATTTCAAGCAAATACATTATGTAATACATACATATAAATACATACATGTGTAAGATAATGAATTATAAAGATATTTACACATCTTAAATTAGCCATTTCATCACCATCTTGCAGGGACGAGTATTACAACCCACCAACTGATTATCACTATAATTACGTATTGCTTCACAGTGGAACCCATATTAAAATGTCTTTAATTGACAGGTTCGTCACCGTCTTGCGAGGACGAGAATTTCGACCCATCAACTGGTTATCACTATTACTCAATGGTTTACAGTGGAACCCTTATTAACATATCTTTAATTGACAGGTTCGTCACCCATCAACTGATTATTCTTAATACTTATAATGCTTTACAGTGAAATTCATATTTACCTACTTTAAATTGACAGGTTCGTCACCAACTTGTGAGGACGAATATTACGACCCATCGACTGGTTATTATTATTACTTGATGCTTTACAGTGGAACCCATATTTACAATACAGACACTTCCAGTCGACAATTATGTCATGCGTTTAAACAGTTCGACAGTGTTATAAGGGAATATTACGGTATGGCATGAAATAACGTCATTCTAATTTTTAAGTTTGGTTACATTGCAATTTATGAAAAAGGACGGAAAAGTTTTCATCTATTGTTACATTTATTGACAATCCGTGATTTTAGAATGAAGTTCTGTTTCTGGTATTTTATTTTATTCGAAAATTTAGCGGCCACACATGCACTGACTCTCTGATCTGTTAAGAACTATTTCTAAACAAAACCACTTAATTTACTCTATATTATTTACTGTCAATTATGATATAACACTGGACACTTTTAATTTGCAAAACACTCATTTGCAAATCCGCCGCCGCCTCTCCTTAGACCTACAGTGTCGTGTAAATAACCAAAATGTGCGGAATTACATGGGATTCAATAATTTCATTGCTTTTCTGCTGTTATTATTATATATATTTTGTAATTTGATTTAGAAAAACATGGGATTTTCAATATCCCATGGGATAAGGCAAATCCCATGGGATTGACCATTATCCCATGGGATTTTGGTTAAATCCCATGGGATTTTTTTGGGTCCCATGGGATAATTGTAGTCCCATGGGATATTTGTTGTCCCATGGGACAAAAAATATCCCATGGGACTATAATTATCCCATGGGATTTTTAATATCCCATGGGACAAAATAAAATCCTATGATTCAAATTATAAATATACAGTAAATAAATGTGTATGTTACAATGAATTCTGTTTGGTAGTAAATTGTTTTAAGATGAATCTTTTTAGTTGAATATCTTTTTTTCCCTTGGAAATGTTAATGCAATTATATTGTTCTATAACTGTTCAAAACTAAACTTTTAAACAACAAAGCAGATAATGTAAGTATCAATATATGTTTATTTCTGAATTCTAGAACACTTTTTTGAAACACAATTTTTTCCCATTTGAAATCAATGAAAACTCTATTAATAGGCTTAACATACTAGTAGCTTTTTACATAACTCTATTTTTTTTTTCAGGATATCCCTCAACCCAAAAAATTAATAGTTTCTTATCATCCAGCATTGTGTGATCGTAATGTATAGTCCACTTTTTTGCCATTCAGCACTGAACATTGTCATTATTGTGGTTTTAATATCTTTAGGTATTTAATAGAACTGCAATTCATTGGCTGAGTGATGAAAATAATAACTGATCTGACTTTTGTCTTTGAATTTATTTTGGCCTTGTTTCTGTGTTTTCTCCTATTCTCAGTGATGAATTCCAATCCATCTGAAAAAGAACCAATAAAATCCGAAGTTATGGATAATAAAAAATTGTATACATACATGTAGCAAGAACATATGATTTTCAATAAAAATAGCTATGCGGTATTGATTTTACTGATTGTTGAAGGTTGTCCAGTGTCATCAGTTGCTAACCTCCTACATCCTTTGGTCTCTGATGGAGAGTTGTCAAATTAGCAATATACCACATCTTCCTATTCTCATATTATATAACAATCAATTTATGTATTCTTCTTTATAACATTTGGGTATTTTCCCCAGTTATATATATATAGATCAATGTTAAAACTTTAGGCAATTACAATAAAATTCCATTTTTCACAAGAATTTGCAATATATTATACAGAAAGCCAACAATAGAAACAGCACTTCTTTAAGCTTCTGAAGTTCTGAAAGAGTTCCACTTGTGTTTTATTTCAATTAGAAAATACATTGAACTCTTTGGACATGTTGGAAATTATAACATTGATACAAAAAATTATATTGGTTTTTTTTTTCTTATTTTTGTGTTGTTCGGTTGCTGTCTCATTTTTATATAAGGTTATACATATATCCTAAATCTTCTTTTTTATATACTTAATCATTAATACACAATGTAGTAAAAATGGGATATTTTTTATTTTGATAATCTCAAAACATTATTATTCTATCAAATAACTTATTTCCAAGTTCACAAAACACCAATGTGTCAGATATTAATTTTAAGACATGTATAAACATGATCAACAAGCAGTTGACAGGATGTCATGCAAAAATCTCACTAATATTAAACTTTCACAAAAACTCCATACTCAGCGAGTACTATTAAAGTTCTTAGTACAGGACAAATTCCTAGTACAGGACACAATGCCTGGCAAACACTAGCATGTGTCAATGTCTAGTCAATCATGTAATCAGGCTCAAAATCTAAGTTTGGCACTGAATTTAAAAATTCACCACATAATGAACATGTGCATGAAATTCAACTTCATGGTAAGCTATGTACCTTAACCTAAAACTTTAACCTAAGAATGTACTATAATTTCACATTATGACATTTCTATGTTCAGTGATCCATAAAATCAGGGTAAAAACAGTAAATGTGGTGTTTAATGTATACACAAGAGTGCACACACTGAAATTTTGCGCCTTCTTTACTAATCATTGATATCATGTTGATAGTCCTAAATATAAAGCTTTACTACAACTATCACATAAACTCAACATGATCCAAGAAAATGAATTCAAGGTCATATAAACCTGACAAGAAATATATGTACACCTTACAATCATTCAAATTACTAAATACAGTTGACCTACCGGTATTGCTTATAGTTTCTAAGAAGCAGACTTAACCAAGAACACTAAATATTGACCAATGAACCATGGAAATGAGGTGAAGATCAGATGAACCATGCCAGGCAGACATGTACAGCTTACAATCCTTCCATACAACACATATAGTTGACCTATTGCTTATAGATTAAGAAAAACAGACCGAAACACAAAAACTTAACACTGAGCAATGAACCGTGAAAATAAGGTCACGGTCAAATTAAACCTGCGGGACTGACATGTACATCATAAAATGTTTCCATACACCAAATATAGTTGACCTATTGCATTTAGTGTTAGAAAAAAAGACCAAAACTCAAAAATTTAACTTTGACTACTGAACCATGAAAATGAGGTCATGGTCAGATGACACCTGCCAGCTAGACATGTACACCTTACAATCATTCTATACACCCAATATAGTAGACCTATTGCATACAGTATAAGAAAAACAGACCAAAACACAAAAACTTAACTATAACTACTGAACCATGAAAATGAGGTCAAGGTCAGATGACACCTGCCAGTTGGTCATGTACACCTTACAGTCCTTCCATACACCGAATATACTAGACCTATTGCTTATAGTATCTGAGATATGGACTTGACCACCAAAACTTAACCTTAAATATAAAAAAGAAGATGTGGTATGATTGCCAATGAGACAACAACTCTACACAAGAGACCAAATGACACAGAAATTAACAACTATAGGTCACCGTACAGCCTTCAACAATGAGCAAAGCCCATACTGCACAGTCAGCTATAAAAGGCCCCGAAATGACAATGTAAAACAATTCAAACGAAAAACTAACGGCCTAATTTATGTACAAAAAATGAACTAAAAACAAATATGTAACACATAAACAAACGACAACCACTGAATTAAAGGCTCCTGACTTGGGACAGGCACATACATACAGAATGTGGCGGGGTTAAACATGTTAGCGGGATCCAAACCCTCCCCCTAACCTGGGACAGTGGTGTAACAGAACAACATAAGAACGAACAATAATAAAATGCTCCGCTGGGGCGCAGCTTGATACGACCGCAGAGGTCGAACCCTGAACAGTTGGGGCAAGTATGGACACAACATTCAAGCTTGATACAGCTCTGAATTTGGATTGTGATTAAATATTTGACACAGAATGAATGTGGTCTAAGAACTTAAAAAATTTTAATTTACCTATTCAAACCATATCATAATTATTTGCTTTTATATATAAATCAGAAATAACCAAGATTCATACACTTGAACACAAGTTATTGTCTGGAAACTAGAAAAATGCTTGTTTTTTTTGCCCCTTTTTGGCCCCAAATTCCTAAACGTTTTGGGCAATTACCCCCAAACTCAAACCCAGCTTTCACTTTGTGATATGGAACCTTGTAGTACAATTTCATAAAGATCCATACACTTACACACAAGTTATTGTCCTGAAACTCGAAAAATGCTTGTTTTTTGCCCCTTTTTGGCCCCTAATTCCTAAAGTTTTGAGGCAATTACCCCCAAAATCAATCCCAGCCTTCCCTTAGTGGTATGGTACCTTGCAGTACAATTTCAGAGAGATCCATACACTTGAACACAAGTTATTGTCTGGAAACTAGAAAAATGCTTATTTTTGGCCCCTTTTTCCTAAACGTTTTGGGCAATTACCCCCAAACTCAATTCCAGCTTTCTCTTTGTGATATGGAACCTTGAAGTACAAATTCAGAAAGATCCATACACTTACACACAAGTTATTGTCATGAAACTAGAAAAATGCTTGTTTTTTGCCCCTTTTTTGGCCCCTAATTCCTAATATTTTGAGGCAATTACCCCCCAAAATCAATCCCAGCATTCCCTTTGTGATATGGAATCTTGTGGTACAATGTCAGAGATCCATACACTAACACACAAGTTATGTCTGGAAGTTACAAAAATGCTTATTTTTGGCCCCTTTTTGGCCCCTAATTCCTTAACTGTTGGTACCATAACCCCCAAAATCAATCCCAACCTTTCTTTTGTGGTATTGAACCTTATATGGTAAAATTTCATAGAGATCCATTCACTTAAACTAAAGTTAGAGTGCAAAAACCAATGTGTCTTCGGACGACGACGACGCCAACATCATACCAATATACGACCGCAAAAAAAATCAGTTGAAAGAGGCTTAACTCATCAGATGGATAAAAATACAAATACTACAAGTACAAGTGGACGTGGCCGGGTACTTGTACATCCAAACAACAAAAAGACACTAAGTACAGATCTGAGAGTACTCGCAGTTACTGACAGCTAGTACAAAGCCACTAACAACTAATAAAAAAAATCATGCATTTAAGACTAAGTTCTTGTTCACTGATCCATGAAATGAGGTCTAGGTCAAGTGAAAACTCTCTGACGAGCATGAGGACCTTGCAAGGTATGCACATACCAAATATAGTTATCCTATTACTCAAAATATGAGAGAAA